ATACCATCGAATTTTCGTGTCGTCTGGAAAGAGTGGAGCCCCGTAGTCACGCCATTGTTGATGTTTTTAGTGTATTGACCGGCTTTCACACAATTGGGTACACCCAGTTGCTCCATTACGATTTGTTTTGTTTTTTTGTCACTGACAGGAGTGTCAAACGGATGTTTGTTTCAATAATTTTAACTCCATATTGTGTGTGTGTGAGAGAGATTGTGAAGACAGGGGTCGCTAGCAGAGAGAAATATATGTTGTAAACAACTAATGTTTCTCGTAGTTCTTTTACCAATCGTGTAATGAATGAACTAGGCCAAAGCAAAAAAAAAGAAAAAAAAGAGTATTCAAATTATAGCCCTCTTACGGAGACAAAAAGAAAGATGAATAGAACGTGTTTGTTGTTGTATTCAGTAAGAGTATCACATATATATATATATTGGTACGCCATCTGGTGAATTAAGAAACATACTTCGTTGAAGAAAGCAAAGTACTGTATGTGTTGGGTATATATATCAAATATTATAGTCATTTATATTTCAAGTATTTTTCATATATATAATGGAGTTTTTTTTGTTTTTTTTTAGAATTATGTGGATCTTTCTGCCACTAGGTGACGTTAAAAACCAGAATATGTTGATTTGGTCGTCAACATTATATGATATCCTGTTATATTAGATCTGGTATGATTCACTGAAGCTAGTGATTTTGATCAAAATATTATCATGTTGACTAATCTCACTGTGGTTGTCTTCATGTTGACTAATCTCACTGTTGTTGTCTTCATGTTGACTAATCTCACTATGGTTGTCTTCATATTGACTAATCTCACTATGGTTGTCTTCATGTTGACTAATCTCACTATGGTTGTCTTCATGTTGACTAATCTCACTATGGTTGTCTTCATGTTGACTAATCTCACTATGGTTGTCTTCATGTTGACTAATCTCACTGTTGTTGTCTTCATGTTGACTAATCTCACTGTTGTTGTCTTCATGTTGACTAATCTCACCGTTGTTGTCTTCATGTTGACTAATCTCACCGTTGTTGTCTTCATGTTGACTAATCTCACTGTTGTTGTCTTCATGTTGACTAATCTCACTGTGGTTGTCTTCATGTTGACTAATCTCACTATGGTTGTCTTCATGTTGACTAATCTCACCGTTGTTGTCTTATGAAGACAACCACAGTGAGATTAGTCAACATGAAGACAACCACAGTGAGATTAGTCAACATTATAGCAGCAGTGATTATATGGGATATGGGAAAACATTTCAGTACAGTTTTTTTTTAGCAATAGATCTTGAAAAAGATTTATACTAAAAAAAATGCAAATACTAGAGTCTTGTTTGTTGAATTTCGCGCAGGGCTATCTGCGCTAGCCGTCCCTAATATAGCAATAATATACTAGAGGGACCCCTCCCCGTAGGACAGCGGTAAATTTACGGGCTCACAACGCTAAAATCCGGCGTTCGATTTCCCGCATTGAACATAGCAGATAGTCTGATGTGGCTTTGCTCTAAAAAACAATCGGAGTAGAGAGAAGACAGCTAGTCAGTACCACCCACCGCCAACTTGTGGGCTACTCTTTAGTAACGAATAGTGAGATTGACCGTTACATTATTACCCCCCATGGCTAAAAGAGTAACATGTGTTATACGGGTGTGGCTGTTCGTATTAACAGTTAATCGGCCATATCCTTTAATATTTAATTTAGCCTTCGATCGACGATTTCACGATGTACTGGAAATGTTTGTCAATATTATACTCTACCACCCAGTGAGGGACAGTTAAGTCTAAAACTGTTGTAGCTTCGATAGTCTTCGCATCATGATGTAACATCCTGAAACGTGTAGATCGTCTCCTTAATATTCTATGTTTTTATTTTTACGTTTAAATGTGGTCTTGGAAGCCGACAAGCATGTGCAGAGGAGAATGTATAGAGCCGACAATCATGTGCAGAGGATGATGTATGAAGCCGACAATCATGTGCTGAGGAGGATGTATGAAGCCGACATTCATGTGCAGAGGAAAATGTATGAAGTCGACACTCATGTGCAGAGGAGGATGTATGAAGCCGACAAGCATGTGCAGAGGGTGATGTATGAAGCCGACAATCGTGTACAGAGGGTGATGTATGAAGCCGACACTCATGTGCAGAGGATGATGTATGAAGTCGACAAGCATGTGCAGAGGGTGATGTATGAAGCCAACAAGCATGTGCAGAGGAGGATGTATGGAGCCGACAATCATGTACAGAGGAGGATGTATGAAGCCGACAAGCATGTGCAGAGGGTGATGTATGAAGCCGACAATCATGTGCAGATTTGGATGTATGAAGCCGACACTCATGTGCAGAGGAGGGTGTATGAAGCCGATAATCATGTGCAGAGGGTGATGTATGAAGCCGACACTCATGTGCAGAGGAGGATGTATGAAGCCAACATTCATGTGCAGAGGAGGGTGTATGAAGCCGATAATCATGTGCAGAGGAGGATGTATGAAGCCGACACTCATGTGCAGAGGAGGATGTATGAAGCCGACACTCATGTGCAGAGGAGAATGTATGAAGCCGACACTCATGTGCAGAGGAGGATGTATGAAGCCGACAACCATGTGCAGAGGAAAATGTATGAAGCCGACACTCATGTGCAGAGGAGGATGTATGAAGCCGACAAGCATGTGCAGAGGGTGATGTATGAAGCCGACACTCATGTGCAGAGGGTGATGTATGAAGCCGACACTCATGTGCAGAGGGTGATGTATGAAGCCAACATTCATGTGCAGAGGAGAATGTATGAAGCCGACATTCATATATTCGTGAAGTATCTATTGACCAATAGTTTCGGTGTCATTACATCACAATAAAACTGATATTTTTCACAAACTCTTATTTATTATGGCCTTATGTTATAAAAATGGACACAATAACATCTCGACCGCACGTCACTGCCGACAAGGCCTTTCGCATAATGCCAAAACTCATCAGTTTAGCTTCGAATGCATCAGCCATTTACATTTGATAGAACGATAATTCTGGTGAAGTGTTATATGTACCTCCAGCTGACAAACTTCTACAAACAGTAGAAGGATAAGTTTACATTAACGTTAAGGAATGCGTCTAAAAGTTATATCGATCGTTAAGTGAAATTTAGTGGTTTGTACCATTAGGAATGTAACTATTCCTCTGATCCGAGACATGACCCAAACCCTAAGTGCTTTGGACCATCATTTCGCATACTCGCAGTTAGTACACGTGTGGGGTCACAACAAGCACGCCTTTGGAGCAAAACCTTTGATGAGCCGTCAAACATGTAATAATGTCAATGATGACTGTGTTTATTGGTTTTGTCTGTTTATGACAAAGCTGTCAAGGTTATCTCACGCAGTCTCTAGTCTTGATCTGCCGACCACAGGGAACGCAACAAGCCAGCAGCACCCACCAACTCTTGCACTTTGAAAGGAGGAGTTGTGTGTGCTATCGCACCCTCTAAACTTCACCTACACACACACACACACACACACATATATATATATATATAAGACAAATAATTTTTATTACAATTAATATATCTAAATCAAACTTTTGTTAAGAAAAAAAAATGTGTCCACACCAAAGCTATTGATCTCGTGATACATCGTCTACTACAATGAGATCTGATATCCCACTTCATCAGAGTGTGCAGTATATTGACCGTCACATAAGAAAGCCCCCTACG